GCTCCAATGACAGCCACAGCCCTTCAGCCACTCCTCTGCCGCAACCCCAAAAAGCCGCTGAGCCCCGACGGCCCACGGGAGGCCCTGCCGCACACGCTGTGGGGATGCCCCCGCTCTCGACAACTGAGCGCCCGACTATCGGAGGACACGCCCTCTCGCACGACAGTGCCGTTCAAGACGGAAAAACCGGCCACGTTTCCACACACAGCCCTCGGGCTATTAACGAACAGCGGCCGCGAATTATAACAAAACAAAAAAAGCGGCAGACTTTGGGGTCCTCCAGCCAAAAGACACCGCCGCTCCCCTTCGCCAAGTCCTGAAGTGTAAACACACGACCGCGTGATATGCCGTCTTCGCGGTTTTCCGCAGGCCGAACGTAGGCAAAGGATGCCTGTATTCCGCGTGAACCAAAAACACATATATCCGTTGCAGCTCCCACGTCAGCGCGTGTGATTTTGATCTGCCTTTATTCGCCGCTCCTTGCAGCGAAGTGTTGTCCACCCAAACTTCCATGGTGGATGGCAAGATGGCGGAAAAAGGCCGATAAGGCTAAGCGTACCGCGCGCCTCGGCCTGCAAGATAAGAAAAGGCTTCTTCTCCCATTTTCCTCCGGCAATTTTAATGTCGCCGGAGTCTGGAATAAAAACGGCTCCCCATCCATGGAGCGATGCATCCGTGATGATGGCGGCCGATGCCTTTTCCGTGGGCTTGACGATTCGCTTACGATTATATTCTCGATGATGTGTCGCAATCTCTCGCCCAAACCAACCGCTGGCGGCGGAACGTTCTTCGGGGATGTCTCCTGCACAATTCCCCGGTTAAGTGCGGATAATCGTCGTCGCACTGCCTTGATAAAAAAGTAGTAGTCACATGAGCGCGTACCCAAAATGGCCGCCGCGTACAAAAAGCGTGACGCCACAACCTCCATTTCCGCGATGGTTGAAGAATTGAGCGCCGGCATGGCGCGTACAGACCGGACAAACTTGTCACTCAGGGATACCGCCCGGTGAGTGTGATCAAACCGCACCCACAGGAAGGTGTACTGCGTAGCGCCCGATTCGCGTTCCTCCCCCATGGATGCGTGACAGCCGTCCGGATTACGAAGCACTTGGGCTTCCCACAATGTCGCACCGCTTTTCGACCCTGTAATGCGTATATTACCGATCCAAACGACGATAGGCACCAATGGAGGTGCAGCGCAGAGGCGGTGAACCACCGTCGTCACCCCCGCAATTGCTGAAGTAATAATCTGGAGAATTTCTGGGCTGGCCTTGTATCCCATTGGGAGCCGTGTCAGCTCCACCAGCGTGCCGACCTCCACGCGGCATCGAAAGAGATGCCGAGTCTCCCGCGGTAAAGAGACCTGAAAAAAGGATGTCTTTAAGTCCAGGCAGGAAGCGGCCTCAGCCATCACAGGCGGCAAATAATGGGAAATGTGCGAAAGAGGAGCATGAGCCTCATAAGGGTCGTCTCTGTTCTTGTCGCGCAGCCACGCGATCCAACGTCGTCGTAAACCGGTGGTTTTCTCCTCCACAACCAAAAAAGGTATTATCCATCCGCCCACTATTGTGGACAAAGCGTCCTCGATTATTACCGCCTTTCGTAACAAACGCGCGTCAGAGGTTGAAATCCTCCCTGAGCCTTCGCGCGCCTTACCTGAGGAGGACGGAGGGAAAGGGGACCGCCCGACGAGTCCACAAACTTGCATGAGACTCTCCAAGGTGGCCGGGTTCAACCGACTCATGATCCACTCTAGATTCAACACGGGCACGTTGACTCGCTGTAACGGGATAGCGTGTTCATCTTGTGGAGTGGCCAGACGCGTCCTTGTCGCGCGTCTCGTTATTGTGGCAGCATGATTGTGATTAAAATAATGGAAAAAACGCTCCTCTGCTTTCAACCAGGGTTCCTGCCCTTCCGCAGTCTCTCCTTTCACATAAATGCGACCGGCGACAACACCTGGGTCAGCATTGTGGTGTACTCCCCAAATATCGAACCGTATTCTGGGGAAGGTCGAACGGATTGACGTGCTTCGCCAACAGCGAGATCACGTGTGGGTCCAAATTGTACGCCTCCACGATTTCAGCAGCGTGCCGCAACGCACCGCGCTTTATGGAATGAGCCGATGCATTTCAAGGAGCCAGAGCTCCTTCGACTTGGGCATTAGTAATATTTGTGGGCTTTTCGTTTTCTTGAAGTGTCCTGCATAGCTTTATAGTGTCAAACGCATCCCGCCCTCGTATCCTGACGAACCGCGGGGCACGGTGGGGATCCGCCCTCGCCGTCTTTGACGCCACGGACCAATTCAAAATTATGGTCCCGTCCGGCTCCAGTGTGAAACTGTTGGGAATCAAGGCCGCAATCTCGGACCAACGACTCGCCGTTATCCACGCAAGTCGAAAAACAACACGTTCCTTCCAATCGGTCCGGCTGCGGACAAATTGATCCATCCCTTCCTCCGTCAAGGGGCGCGCCTGTTTCGTCTCCCAATCACGCCGCAATTTTTTGTAACCTCAAAGCCGCCATGCCCAGCGGGGTTCGATTCATTTCCAACATAGACCGCAGCATCCCGCCGTACTGCCGTCGGGTCGATGGCGCCACATCTCATATTGCCGTCAAAAATGCCGCACAGCTCTCCTCATTGATCGGCTGTTCGTGTGTGCGTCGAAAGATTGTAAATCGCCCCGCTAGGGGCATTCTCTGCTCCCACGTTGACGGCGCCCACATTTATCAAGCCAACTCGTTCCCTCTCCTCACATAGCTGGCGCAGAGCAAAGATATCGGTGATTCGCGGTACCACAGTCGAGCGTCGTTGGCGTATAAGCTCCTTTGCGCTTCTTAACAATTGCGTGGGGCGATTCTAAAGAGCGGGTGGAACATCGGCGGTGCGGTGCGACGTCTTCTGTGGGGATTGGTGGGAGGTGGCGGAATGGGTGTGGCCGCCGTCATCCGCCTTCATAAACGGTGGGCAGCCCCTTTGCCGTTTTTTGACGTTTGCTTGTAGTTCGGGAAACCCCTTTTGGGACGCACGTTGCATGTAGAAGCCTCGTATCCATAAATAAGGCACAATTGGCATCGCAACGATCGTTGTTGTTGCGATCGAGTTCCCCGTCGATCCATGAAAGGCTGAGCCACCCTCGCGAATGTGTCATACTCATAAAAAGCCGTGTGAAGGCGGGCACGCAGCTTTTTGGGTCGGCACACTGGGGTCGGATTTAATCACGATCTGCATCCGGAAGACCCGCGGTATAATCCCGCCCAATTCCATGAACTGCTTGTCGGGCCCCCGATACAACCGCAACGCGCGCATCCACGAAGCCAGAATGTCAAAGGCAATTTGGGCGTGAGCGTCCCCTCGGTGCCAGTAATCGTAAGCGCCCCGGATGTCGAATAGGATTCCAAGGAATCCTCCATTCCAACTTCGCGGGACCCAAGTGGTGACGTCAAATTCAAGGAAACCCAGATCCTCTTCATTTGAACCGGAAGCTTCTTCTGAAGCTGGAGATCGAGAGGGCGAAGTCACGGGGTGAGGGAAACGTGGTCGCCCCAAATTGCCCAATGACGCATGAGTATTGACCCGCCGTCGCTCTCCCGTGAAAATGGGTTGGGGAATTGTGGGTGCAGCCGCGCCCCCGGCCATCAAACGCTCGTGGTGGGGTGGTGTCGTTGCGCCATCTTCGGACCCGTGCGCGGGTGCATCTGGCGGCCCTCTCCTGGAAGAGGGAACTCCCCGCCGTCTGGGCGCGTCGCCGCACCCCAAGCTGCAAGCCGCGCTTCCAAGGCACCGATGCGTGCCTTTCGTTCCTGGGGTTGTGCAAGGGTTGCCTCCAAATGGCGTTCGCGCCCCGCAAGCGCCGATTCTCGTTGCGCAAGAAGACCGTCCGCCACCGCAGTGTTCGACGCACGTGCCGAAAAGTGGTTATTCGCTTCCTCCGTCTGATGTTGAAGCTGCGCGCTTCGATTCTGCACGTCCGCGGCGGCGTAGTGCGACTTTGATCTCCGCCCTTCCGCGATGGTCAGCCCTTGCCGCGTCCCCGACTCACGGGCTGCCCTCATTATGGGCAGGAGGGATTGAGACTCAAAATTTGGTGCCTGGGGCGCCCGGAGATCCGCAATGTGCCCCGTAAGGGTTGAATCCTCCCAGTGCTTGGCGGCGTTTCCTGAAATCAATCGTGAGCCGCTTATGGTAGCACTGACAGTCATCATTGACTCTGACGGTCCCTTTTCATCCATGTAGGCGAGTTGCTCCTGTATATCGCCATGCTGGCGTACCAGATCCGCCATGCAATTACCGATAAGGCTCCATTCCGTTGCCGTGTAAAAGGAACCATCGCCATTCCTTTATATGAGCTTGCAGGAATCAGGTTTGGCTGTAAAAACAAAATAAAAATAAAACAACTAAATTCGTCTAGACGCCATTGGTTCCCTGATTCCTAGAATCGCGGTCAACCAAAGAATAATAAAGTAAAAAAAAGGCTCATGGAGAGTTCGCTTCATCAGAGTATATATCTTAAATTAGATAGCCCGTTTCCATGTGAACGTGCTATTTAAAAGATTAAAAAAAATTGGGTTTGACGCGTGGTTCCTGGTTTGCATTCTTTTATTTTTGCATGTGTGCGTAGTCGATTCAATATGTTTCTTTTGAAAATTATTTATTGGTAAGGAAGGAGACAAATACACTGTTCTTTTTTACTTGCTTCTTGTTTTACATTTCCGAATTCGTATTTTTTTTACGGAACAGAATGAAGTCTTGCGTTTTTTGATAAAATTTTGCTTATTTCTTTGCGGGGGAAGCTGAGGAAACTTCTTGCAGCTTCGTGGATTATAGTGTAATAAAATCTGTTGTACAAGGCGGGAGGGAGCAGAAAGCAAATTTTATTTTTGTTTTTTTCTCATTTCCTTTTTTCTTTTTTGCTAATGTATGTGTTTAGCCGGTACTTTTGTTGGGGACATTTGTTGTTTTGTGTGTTCCTTCTTTTTTTTTGGTTTTATGTTTGTTTATGGTGCTGCATCCTTCTTTATTTTCTTTGCTCAAAAAAAATTTTTATTTAGCTGTGTCAGTGAGATCATATTGCTTCCCAAAAGACCATTATTTATATTTGATGTCTGTGGTTCTTGATTGCGTACCAGATGCTAGTTACGAGCCATCTGAGGCGGAGCTCCTAGAGTATGGCAAGTGGCTCGGCATGAAATTTCCTGAAGATAAACCTTTTCTTTGGATTGCAAGGGAAGGTTTGAAAGCTCCTTTACCTGAAAATTGGAAGGCCTGCAGGAGCGAAAAAGGGGACTTGTACTACTTCAACTTCAAGACTGGTGAGAGCAACTGGGACCATCCGCTAGACAAGCAATTTAAGGAGCTACTTCAAAGCGAAAAAGAGAATCCCAGTCCGCAAAGTATTGCTAAAGGAGCAAAAAGATTGACCATTGAGATTGATAACGCGGCGGAAACTGTTACAGAACAGACTGAAACAAAGGAAAGTTGCTTATCTTCATCCAGAGGCAAATCGAGAATACAGAAACTGAAAACGCTCAAGTTGAAGAAGGAACTACCAGACAATCTTCGTCTTAAGCCAATTGCAAGGGTTAACTCTGGTTATGATACTAGTGAGCGTGGCTCAGAACCGGTTGGAGTGGGGAAAAGAACAGGTTCTAAGGCGTGCTCCATATTAAAACAGAATATAGAAAAATTATCCACTGAAAGATCTGAGGAATCTTTGAGTTCTGAAAAGGTGACTTTTGAAGCGGATTTGAATGATGAATTAAGGCATTTTCAAAGTGAAAAACTAAGAGAACATCAGGCTGCAAAAGATGAATATGAGATGAAACTGAAAGATTCCTGGAAACGTTATCAGAAACTGCAAACCGAGGAATATGAAAAAAAGATGAACAGTTACAAAGATGAATTAGAGAAAAAGTTATTTGAGGAAAAGAACAATTTAGAGGAGAATTATAGCACGAGTGTTCAGAAGTTTGGTAAAGAAGTTGCGGCCCGTGTGGAGTTAGAGGCAAAGCAGATGCGCCATTATTTGAGCGAGAAATACGAAAAAGAAAAGAGTGATATTGAAAAAGGCTGGCAAGAAGAATTGGAGAATTTCAGAAGAAGCAATGATTTGGAATTAGATAGACTGCGTGCTTCAAACTCTCAAAGTGTAGCAGAATTGAAGCAAGTTACAGACGAACTTTGGGAAAATGCTCTGTATTTTGTTGAAACTTATAAAAAAGCACAAGACGCATTTGTTGAAGAGTTGACAAATACTAAAATAATTTTCTCGAAGTTTGGTGAGCACGCGTTATCTAAGCTTATAGAAAATGCCAGGGAGCTATACAATACTGAATTAAACGAGATAAAAGATTCTTTTCAGTCGGAAATAGAAAAAATAAGGTGCCACTTTTTGGAAGAGATTGTGGCGTTCCAAAGGAAACGGAAATTGTTGTTAGAAGAAAAAGAAAAATACGATGAGGAAAATGAAACATTATTAAATACAGGAAAGAAAATATCGGATTGCACAAATTTGAAGCATTGTATGACGCATATAACACAACGGCAAGAACAAGATTCCCAAGAAAACACCAGGATACAGGGTGTGATAGAAAAAAGAGGTGATTTTGCTTCGGAAATTAAGGGAGACTCTGCTCGATTCGATGAAGATACAATGGGAGTCCGATCAGAAAAGGAATTATTTGAGTCCGTTGTTACATACATGAAGGAAGTTCAACGGAAAGAACTAGAGGCTGTTAAGAGAGATCTCAAACAACGCGCCGAGGAAGAACTGAAAGCAACTTTGGATGAGGTTGTGCGGGATCGACTTCATCTGGGTTTTGAACCCTTACCTGAAGAGAAGGATGAGATATTTTCTTTTCATGGGAGTGAAAAGGCTTTACCCGAGATAAAGACAGAAGAAAAGGAATCAGAAAAGGAGAGGTTGAGTACTGCTTTATCAGATACAATAAAAAAAGATGATCTTACTGATGTTCTTACGGAAGCGCTTCGTCGACTGTTTGCTGGTTCACCGTTTATTATTCCTTCTCCGAAATCTGGTGATGCTGCTACTGTTCCCAGCACTGCTATTTTTGGAGCCGTAAACGGAGCTAATGGGAAACAAACCTATAACGCAGAGGGTATATCGGTCCCATGTCGAACTGAGGTAAATACGCTGGATGGATTTCCTGTTTCATTTCAGGAACAAAAAATGCTTCTTGCAGGAGAACACCAGCGAGTTGCAGAAGGGAAGAGGTTTGTGGAGAATCAGCGCTTTGGTTTGGAGGAGCGACGCCAACAGCTTAAAATGGCGAGACATCAATGGAAGCAGGATGTGAGGACTGCGAAAGAAGAGGGGGTTCGGGCTTCTTCCAAGAGAGGAAAATTACTCAATAAAATTCGCATTGCATTGGAGAACCAAGCAAGGGGTCTTGAACGCGATGAGTCCATTCTTCGCGATAGTGAGAGGTGGCTTTTGATGAAGGAACAAAGTGTGTATCAAATGGAGAAGCATATCAAGGAATTAGAAGAAGGAAAAGGACGTGACACATCCATAAACAGCATTGATACTGTGGGTCTTGTAACCGATTTTTTTAAACCAACGATGCCGTCGTCTGGTTTCTATTCACCGAATCATGATACCATGCACGGGGTTGTACGCAAAAGGGATTTGGACCCAATTTACACCAAAACACTGGATAAAATTGCAAGACGTCTAGAGGAAGTTACCTCAATGATGAACATTCAAAAGCAAAAGCGAAGTTCCTCCTTGCCATATGAAAACTTGCCCCGAAGAAGGTCTGCACAAAAACCAACCAAGGGAGCTTAGTTGATTATTGACTGAAATTGTGAATTTTGAAGATAGTCCCACGCCTTCTCCGCTATTATTATTATTATTGATTTTATTCTTTTTTATTTTTTCTGGGTTGGGTGGGATGGCTTCCTGCTTCTACGCATATATTTGCAAATGGGACAGTTACAAGGAAAACCTTTATGGATGGGGTGGGTTTGGACTAAAATAGACTGACTGAGAATGCCGTTTCTTTTGAGACGGCTTTTAATTAGAAATTGCTTTTGTACATACTACATTGTTATCCTGATAAAAAACAAACTAATTATGTATCCGCCATTATTATTATGGTTATTATTATTATTATTATTATTTCCCTCATTCTCTCTCTATATATATGTATATATTTTATCTTTTTTTTTTTTTCTTGCTCATTTTTTTAAAGTGCCGTAATACGATTATTGCTTTCTTTAAAATGTTAAAACCGAGGACACTAGAGATAAAACGGAAAGGCACCAAGGAGCAAAATAGGTAGTTGTGAATGGCATGTTATCCCACGATGCATTGTTCTTTGGGTCGAAGACGAGGCTCTCCCATAATGTTTTTTGACGGCTTTGGTGAATTAGCTCGTTGCTTCCATCTCTCTCTCTATTTTTTTTTTTTGTTTGTTTGTTTGGTCTCTATTTGTAAATTCACGCCTCGCGCAAAGTGAAATTACTCTTGACTTGTTGCCGCCGTAACATTGATCTTTTTTTCTCTTTGTCCGTTTTGTTTTTCCGCGTATCGCCAACTATAGCTATTTTTTTTTAGTTTCCTTTTTTCCGTGGTAGAGAGAGGACACTCGAATTACGATATTTGGGCATCTGGGATATTTTACTGCCCGAGAATAACTAATAATTGTGAAACCACTAATAATAATCAAAACAAGAGCTCTCCAATACGGTGGGAGCCTGTTTTTCTTTAGTTGGTGTTACGTGAATCTAAAGGGCTAAGTAAAACTACGAGAAAAAAAAGGGGACAAGTAGAAACCTATCGCTGTGTGTACTTGAGAGATTTTGACGAGAAGAGCTATTTCAAGAAGTTGTTTTTTTATCCGGAGTTGCGAAAGCAAAGGCCATTACTCATGAGCTATGATGGATGCTTTGCGGAGTGCATGAAACCGACAGTCAAAGGAGATTTTAAGGTGCTTGACCAGCATTCCTCTTGGTCATCTGCACAGGTACCGAGTCAATTTTCGTGCAGAACGACGAACTTGTCTTTTCATCAAATAGGAGGAGGGCTAACGGCTTCGCGAGACTCTGAGGCGCACTCTGAAAGAATCTTTTCGGAGGACTCTGAACATGGAATCTCCTTGTTACCGGGTGGGTGCCGTGAGTCGTTTGGTGAGTATGGGAACTTTGCGCTCACGGAAGGCCGATTCCCATTGCACCGTTTTGAAGATGAGACGGACACCATTACGCAGGGGGAGGGAACCAACGAAGGAAGGGAATTGGGGTGCAATTTACCACCTTCAGTTTCTCACTTTTGGCCTCCATTCCCTCCCCCAAACTCAGAGAGCGCTGAGTTTGCTGAAACAGCCCCGCCGGCCGAAAGAGCAAACTATTCCCAATCTTTTCATCATACAGGAATACGATCAGAGTGTGTACTTGGAGGTAGCACCACGTCGCTACTGAACTTTTCCAGCCATCACTCTGGTGAGGGATGGTGGGCAACACGAAACATTAACTCGCTGGAACGCCCAAAACACGAACAACATCCATTTGAACCAAGCCCTATCGTATCACCGTTTTTTGCTCCTGTACAGTTGCTAAAACTACGGGGTCAACGACCTGAGCTGGATTGTTGCTCGGTTAACAGCAACAGTAACTGGGCGAGTGATGTTGACATTCCTCAGCGTGGTACACACGTGGAGATGTCAGTAAAATTGTCAGGATCAGAGGTGGCGAGTGCGAGGGCCATGAGTGGTCTCCGTCCAGATTGGGATCGGAGCAAGCGAGGGATAACCGGGGATTTATTTTATGACGAGGAACGGAGTGACTTCACGGAGCCTCCTCGAAAAGAACCTGAAGAGAGAAGGATGCTACGACAGAAGTGTTTGAATTCAGATTCGTACTTTGCCACCCGCCGCGGAGTGCACAAGGTATCCTTGGAGCGCGTTCGACGGCAGTTCAAACAGCACTTCATAAAATCCAAATTCGATTGAATTTCTGCCTTTGGTACAGAATATAGTGCTTGGTTGCAGAAGCAGATATCGAAAATTTTTTTTTATCTTTACGCGTTCTTTACATTTTTTCAATTTTTTTATTTTTCGCGTTTTTTTTCAAACGTGAAACTTGTCTGGTTATTATTCCTCTTTCCCTTGTTTCTGTGGTTCAACTAAATTTTTTTCTCAAAATTTTTTTAAAAATTTCTTTCCTTTTTTTCCACGTTTTGGGCCGAGCTTTTTTGCTTTCTTTTTTTTCTTAAAAAGGGGTATTTCTTGTTTGCAACATTCTTTGTGTTCACGACGGTGTGGCGGGTATCAGTATTTCTGCGCGTGTGAATATACCCCTTCACCTCCATTCATTTCTCATGGGCCTTATTTCTTTTTTTTATCTTTTTCCTCTTGTGAGCTTGTTTTGTATTGTGATGGATAGAAGTGGCGCCCTTTTTGCCTTATTTTCGAAAAGGTCGGAATTGAGAGGTAATGTTTTCTTTCCACGCATCGCTCGTTTTTATTCTCTATTAGATTCGTATAAGCTTGCTTAGGTGAGTGTGAAAGAATTTGGTGGGGACATTAGCACCTGAGGAAGACGGACCCTGCGAAGGGGAGGGAAAGAAGGAGAGAGAGTATATTGAAATGAAGGGAAAAGAAGTGGTATGCCGTGGCAGCAAGAAGATCCTCATTTCGTGTTCCCAGAAGCAGCAATAACAATATTAACAACAAAATCATCAGCAGCAACAAAAGAGGGCGAAGACTCTCGTTTTATTACTTTTTTTTTATTTCTAGGCTTCTGCATTTTTTACGCTTTGCGGAAGCCCCTTCTTATTTGATACCTTTTTTTTTTTTTTTTTTTTTTGCCTTTTCATGTGCATATGTGTGTTTTTATTTTATTTTTATGTGTTCGCTGTTCTCCAATTACAATTATATTCAATTGCTCCCAGTACCATTTTTCATCTGTTTCTCTGCGTCTGCATGTGTATGCCGCGGTGTGAGGTGTATCGGGAGATTGAACAGGAAGAATAAAGGAATAAACGACTGGGAATGGGCATGGGTAACGGGTGGAGAGATGGAGACAAAGAAAAGTAGCGGAACGAAACGAGGCGAACGAAATGCATACAAAAAACAAACAAACAAAAAAGAAGACTGACGATAGAAATGAAGGAGCTGAGTGGTTGGAGCGGGGTGTAAAACGGTACAGAGCAAAGCCGGCAAAAAAGAATGTGTAGAATATGCCCAAGGTACGAGGTTGGCTCGCTAATGAGCCACGAGACGAGGGGCAAAAAGGGATATCAGCATTAAGGCATATATAGCGTTTTGAAGAGAAATATAAATAGGAAGGAATGAAGGCGGTGCCAATGCATTGTTCTGCATCATGAAACAGTGCTAATTTCATATTGCTTGGGAGAAGTAAATGAGAGTGTATTGGTTGTATTAAAACGAAGAAGAAGACAATAATAATAAAAAAAGTAAGAAACATATGCTCTCTTCTTTTGAGACTTTTTATGTTCCTATTTAAATTGTTTTTGTTGTTCTTTGGCTTCCACACCCATTCCTTCCTTTTTTCTTCCTCTCATTATTTTCCCTGCATTCATACCTTTTTTTTTTTTTTTCGAACGTTATTATTATTATTATTACTATCAATTATATGCATACTATTATGGGTTGTTGATTTTTTATTATGATTATTTTATTTTATTGGTAGTTGATGACGGTACTCTGGGCTAACAAACACAGTCTCTTTCTCACCCTCATATATGTACATATATAATATATATATAAACTTGGATGTGCAACACTGAGCCATGGGCTTTTCATGGGGTTGTCTTTTTTTCAATCATGCACGCGTATATATATATATATATATATATTTGTTTTGACAAGATCCCTTTTTGAGTGCCTGTTTGAGCTTTTTTTTCTCTGTGTTTATATTTCACTGGCCCTTTGCATAAGTGAACGCAAAGGAAACAACAGAAATATATGTATATGGTTTCTCTCTTCTTATTTGTCAGTGATACGTTTTAAATAAAAAATTTTTTTTTTTTTTTTTTTTCCGGAAAAAACTTTGCTTCTTACCGGAACAGTTTTTTCTATGAAGTACTCGTATCTATATATATATACATATATATATGCAATGTGTCTTGGTTTCTAATCAATTGTTTCCCCAATGGAGTCTCTGTGCATGTATCCTTCTGTTTACTTGTTTGCGGTAAGGGCGATGCCGCTGAGGGAAGTTGGGGGGCGCAATATTAGGGACGATGAGAGTCATGCGTAACATTGTGCATCTTTATTTTAATTTTTATATACGTCTATAAATGTCTTTTGATTTAAGACATGTCTATACATATCAATCTATATGGTGTTTTATATATCTATTTATATCAACATGTGAGGCTTTATGCATGAGAGTAGAAAAGGAATGAGTGTCTGTTAGGAGAATTAAGTTAAATAACTCTTTCAGTTTTTTAAAAAAGTTTTCCTTCTCTCTCTCTCACTTTATATATATATAAACATCTTCTACGTCTTTTTTTTTTTTTTTTTTTTGGTTTCAATTTATACAGGAACGATTGTTTTTCCTTTCAATCTTGTCTATATATATATATATATATATATACATATAATATAAATGTGCGGATATACGCTTATATACGTAATTGGATTTTCATTCTATATATTGTTATTTGTTATTGTTTCTTTGGTAGAGTATGGCAGGTGGCTGATAATTGAGAGGATTGTGGCAGAGGCAGAGTAACCCTTCTTAATCTCTTTTTTTTTTTTTTTAATTTCAGAGTGATTGTCTCTGGTGCGTTGCTTGTTCTTTTTGCTTCTTTTTTTTCTGTCGTTTTCCATCCTCTTTTCCGATGCATTTTTCTCCTTCCAGACACATTCAGTATCAGTAAGAGAGAATTCGTGTGTTTTCAATGATTCCCTGCCGCTCCAACCAACAACAGCATCAAAACATCTCCAAAACGAGGCGAAGCGCTTATAACTTTACGGACTTTTGCGACGGACGAAATTCATCTGCACCGATGCGTTCTGTCGTTGCTGGCGACGCTGGAAAGGAGCAATGTTCACAGCAGCAGAATGGTGATTTGGTTGTCATGACTGATATCATGGAAAGAACAGGTGCATCCACATCTGCCGAACGTGAAACGAATTGCAGTGAACGTTCTTTGCTAGAGGACAATATAATTCCGGTGTTAAGCATGAGCGAACTTACAACAGTGTGTCCACAATTCATCGCTACACCGACCATCGCCACCCCAAATACCCCCAATTGTTCTCATTTTAATGCTGCCACTCCTTGTTTGGAGAAATCGCCATTATTATCCTCTTCTTTTTCTGCTTCGCCGTCAGGATGCGAAGATGAAAAAAGTCTGGGATATTCTGCAGCTGTCTTTGAATCCGATGGAGAGAAGGATGATGACTGTGATTCCTTGAAAAGCGCTGACAAAACTAAACTCAAGGCACCTTATCTCATTAACAAATCCCCTGGCTCCATTGCTGCAATTGAATTGGCGTTGTTGACAAACTCAAAGGAGGATGAGCATACGCAGTCGGATGGGGCATGCTCGATTGACAAGGATTTGGAGTCTGCACTGGAGGAACAAGGGGGTTACGGCACCTGGAACTTGGTGACGTCGCGTCTGAAAGCAGTGCATCTTCGTCACATGGCGCACAAGTATGCATTGGAAGTTGTTCGTCAACGCTATGGAGGCAGGATTATAGATGATTCATCTAAGTAGCTTTTAAAGGACATTGTGATTTGTGCTATGGAGGAGGATTCTTCTCCCTTTTCCCTTTTGTTTGAAAAGAAAAGAAAAAAAACACGTGCCTTGAGAGTTTTTTTTTTTTTTTTTGCGTGTCTTTTGATTTTTATCTTGGCTGTATGTGAGTGTCTTTCTGTTTTTTTTTTTTTTTTTTTTTTTTTGTTTGCGTGTTTGTGCCTTTCCCTCCTTTTTTTTTTTTTTTTTTTTTTGAGAATATATATATATTTATATTTATATATTTTTATACAGTAATATATATATATATTATACATATATTATTATTATTATTATTATTATTATTATTTGTTGTTTGTTGTTTGTGTTTTGCACTTTTACCCTTGGATTTTTTTTTGCTTCCCCCTTTTTATCCATTTTTTCCATTCCTCCTTCCTCTTCACAGCTCAATGGAGCTTGAGACACGGATGGAGATCACGTCGTTGGGATGACTGCGAATCTCGGTATTTGTCATTGATATATATACATATATACATATATACATATATATATATATATATAAAGGTGTTTCTGCTGTTAATAAAAGATGAAAAGAAATACGGGTGGGGTGGGGTGGGGGGAGTTAAATGGGCGGGAAAGAAAGAGAAAGAGAGAGAGAGAGAGCGCCTGCGCGTTTGTATGCTTGTAGAATAAAACGGCTGGTAACCCCATTCTCACTGCCACACAGATGTACACGCACGGACAGAAAGACAGACAGAGAGAAAAAGAAAAAGGGAAAATAGGCTTAATTATGAACATACATACATACATACCCTGCAACGTGATAGAAATGAAACTCCCACTTTACCCGGAAAAAAAGGATCAGAAGAGGATGGAAAAAACAACAACAAAAACAACACAGACACACACATACACACGTATTCGTGCTCAGAGGAGGAGGAGGGGAGGAGAGGGAAAAAAGAAAAGAAGGATGAAGCGGGGGTGTGCGCGCAGATGACTTTATACCCACACCCTTTTTTTTTTTGCTTTTTTCCTCCTCTCCTTTCAAGGAAACAAATGAGACAAGGTGAGGTGGGAATAACAATCAAGCTCCCAGAAGAAAATAAAGAGGCGTAAAAACCCACCCAATTGGAATTAGAAGTAAAAGCAGAAGAAAAAACAAAAACAAAAACAACAAAAAGACAATGCTGATAAAACGAGTTGTCAGGCGAAACAAAAGCGACAAGTAAAAAAAAAAAAAAAGAAGTAATGAGTGAGTCAGTGAGTTGAACATGGAAC